TGCATGGCTCTCACACCCCGCCTGGGCAGGCTGGGGCAGCTCGTGGGCAGATACAGCCACACAGAACCCAGAGGGGGCTGAGTTGTGGGGCTCACACTCAGCCTCTATTCTTACTGATAAGTGGTCTTGAGCCACCACAGGGTGCCTTACACTGGCCACCCCATGCCTTGGGAGCATATACTCAATTTGCAGGGGCCCTGGGCAGAAGGCAGGAGCTGAGCCCTGTGGCTTAGGGCAGTGCCCTCTCCCCTGGCCACTCATGAGAGTCACTGCACCCTAATAGGCATTCAGGTTTAAGTGGCCTAGGGGTCCCAGACCTCAGTGTGGCTTAAAGCCCCAAGGTGATGCTGATGTGCACTCAGGATGGCGACCCTCTGGTGTGACTGAGGGATTGGTGGAGACGTGGACACATTGTCTTCGTAGCCATTGTTGGATCAAGGCCAGGCTGAGAAGGAGCTTGTAGGCCTGCAGACAGCATGGTGCAGGGTGGTAGGGTGCTAGCTGCTGGGTGGGGTAGGAGCTTAGGGTGAGGAGGGAAGGAAAGGGTTGATGTCAGGGTCTCACTGGGGCCAAGAGAGTGCTCACCTTTCCAGCCTTTGCTATGGGAGTCATGGACAAGAGTGGGTACTTCCAGGGCTGAAAGACATCTCCCTAAAATTCTCAGGCTGGGCATCCAACTACTCCAGGATGGAGGATATCCCCTTGTTCAGGACTTTGTAGGGGACAGAAGGAATAATGATGGGGCTGAAAGACATCTCCCTAAAATTCTCAGGCTGGGCATCCAACTACTCCAGGATGGAGGATATCCCCTTGTTCAGGACTTTGTAGGGGACAGTAGTAATAATGATCCCTAAAATTCTCAGGCTGGGCATCCAACTACTCCAGGATGGAGGATATCCCCTTGTTCAGGCCTTTGTAGGGGACAGTAGTAATAATGATGTGATGATGGTGAAGGTGATGATGGTGGAGGTAATAATGGTGATGGTGGTGATAATGATGGTGATGGTGATGCTGGTGGCAATGATGGTGGTGATGGTGAAGGTGATGATGGTAGTGATGATGGTGGTGAAGGTGATGATAGTGATGGCGATGATGATGATGGAGAAGATGGTGATTGTGGGTGAAGGTGATTATAGTGATGATGATGATGGCAGTGATTGTGATGGTGGTGATGGTGATAGTGAAGGTGATGGTGGTGGTGGTGATGGTGAAGGTGATGGTGATGATAACTATGATGATGATGGTGATGATGGTGGTGAAGGTGATATGATGGTGACAATGGTGGTGATGATAGTGGTGGTGGTGATGGTGATAGTGAAGGTGATGGTGGTGGTGGTGATGGTGAAGGTGATGGTGAAGGTGATGGTGATGATAACTATGATGATGATGGTGGTGAAGGTGATATGATGGTGACAATGGTGGTGATGATAGTGGTGGTGGTGATGATGATGGTGATACTGTAACACATGTGTATTGCACTGACTACATACCCAGCATTGTCCTAGTGCTTTGCATGTATTCATTCATTGAAGCCACACAACAACCTAAGCTGAGGCACAGAGAAGTCAAGGCTGAGAGGTCAAGTGTAGGTGGCAGTGCAGTGTCAGAACAGACATCTCCTCCAGACCCCGTGTCTTGGCATCCTGGCCATACCCAGCACATTCCCTTGGGGTCTGGAGTCTGACACCACCCAGTCCCACACCAGGGTGATGCTCCCAAGAGCTGCAATCCCAGCCCCATCCATTGCAGGTCGCCTCATGCAGGCAGCTTCCACAAGACAGATGTGGCTCTTCTTTCTTTCCTTGTCCTGATTGATTGCCTTGTTCAGTTCCAACTCTACTGCAGTTAAACATTAATTCAGTAGGGCTTAATAACGTGAATTTGTTACAACCTGCCTGCACTCACTGGTGGTGCCGTGCTGCTGGGTTAATTATAGTATCCACATGGCTGTCCTCTCAGGCACTTGCTAGAAAGCACCCCTCACTCCCTCCTTGGTGTGGGGTACATTAAACCACCACCTGGCCTGGTGTGGTCCAGCCACAGACCCAGAAGCCGTGCGGAGATCTGCAACCAGGCCTGGGCCTGTGTGAGCTGCTGGCTCAACCCTTGAGGTCCTGGTGCCAGCCAAGGCCCAGCAGGGATCTGGAGGATGGGGACAGGTGCAGAGGCTAAGCATGGAGGGTGTCCCAGGTGGCCCCCAGGCCATGGGTGCATCTGCATGGCCCCAAGTGACAGGCATGCTGCCCTCAAGGCCTGATCCCCCCACCGGCACCCTGACAGTTTGATGGGATTGCAGTTTCCAACTCAAGGGCTTTGCGGCACTAATTAAGCAGGAAGAGGTCTGATTGGGGGGCCCTGGCAGCCCTGGATGCAAGGTTGGGGGCACCTGACCACCCCCCACAAGCATTTTTCAGTGTGGGTGGGGGTCTCCTCCTGCTGCCTGCCCCCCTCAGGCCAGGCTCCCTGCTCTCCCGTTCTCTCCTGGGTCCTAGGCACGTAGAGGGGCCATCCTGAAGTGCCTGATTTCCCTCTTCCAGCTTTGATGATCCCCGCACATTCCAGTCACTCGCCCTCAGCCTCATCACCTTCCCTCTGTGCTTCCCAGACCCACATCCTCTTCATTTTCTTCTCTCCCAGCTGAGCCTGGTCAGTTCTCCTCCCAGGACTTTCCTCATGAAACATGGATGCATGTCGCATGTTTTCTCACTCCGTCCTGCCCCTATCACAGGGGGAGACTGAGGCCTCAAGGGCCCCAGGGCTATGAGGCTGGCAAGTGTGTCAGGGTCCCATGGGGCAGGTGCATGTGGGGTGCTTCCCATCCGCCTCTCATCCTGAGGACCAGGAACGGGGGCTTGGCCACAGCTCTGCAGCCAGGAGAGAATCCCACCTTCCTCCTGCTGGGTGGAAAAGGACACCCTAAATGGGGGTCTTGGCCCACCCCTCCAGGGGTAGTGCAGTGTCAGGGCAGACGGGTCCATTGGGCTGCTGGGATGCAAAGCCTGTCAGAAGGTCCTTGCCCATACCTGTCCTAGGCCAGGCTCCCCGCTGTCCCCTGTTCTCCCAGGCCAGGCTCCCTTCCATCCCCCAGGATTCCAGGTCAGGCTCCCCACCATTCCCCGGGTTCCCAGGCTGAGTTCCCCACTATCCCTCAGGCTCCCAGGCCAGGCTCCCCACTGTACCCTGGGCTCCCAGGCCAGGCTTCCCACTATTTCTCAGGCTCCAGGCCGGGCTTCCCACCATCCCTCAGGCTCCCAGTTCAGGGTCCCCTCCATCCCCCAGGCTCCCAGGCCAGGCTCCCTGCCGTTTCTCAGGCTCCCAGGCCAGGCTCCCTGCCGTTTCTCAGGCTTCCAGGCTGGGCTTCCCACTGTCCCCCAGGTTCCAGGCCGGCTCCCCACTGTCCCCCGGGTTCCAGGCCGGCTTCCCACTGTCCCCCGGGTTCCAGGCCGGCTTCCCACTGTCCCCCGGGTTCCAGGCCGGCTTCCCACTGTCCCCCGGGTTCCAGGCCGGCTTCCCACTGTCCCCCGGGTTCCAGGCCGGCTTCCCACTGTCCCCCGGGTTCCAGGCCGGCTTCCCACTGTCCCCCGGGTTCCAGGCCGGCTTCCCACTGTCCCCCGGGTTCCAGGCCGGCTTCCCACTGTCCCCCGGGTTCCAGGCCGGCTTCCCACTGTCCCCCGGGTTCCAGGCCGGCTTCCCACTGTCCCCCGGGTTCCAGGCCGGCTTCCCACTGTCCCCTGGGCTCCCAGGCTGGGCTTCTCTCCGCGCCCCAGGGTCCCAGGCTGAGCTCCCCACATTTCTCAGGCTCCAGGCTGGGCTCCCCACTGTCTTCCAGGCTCCCAGGCCAGGGTCTCACCAATCAAGCCTGCTTTGCAGGTCACTTATCACTGAGCTGGAAATGGCACTTTCCGGCTGCAAGTGAGAGGCTAGAAAGGCATGAGGCACATTTTTATACAACTCTATGAACTTTGTCATTGAAAACATGATAGCCTTCAATTTGGGGGCACGGTGGAAGGCAGTATAATTTGATTACCTGTATTAATCAAGTGGAGTACAACACATAAAACTGCCTCGCACCCATCTGACTAAAGCCGGATCACCCTCTTGTGCGTCTTGGAGAGATTTATTTTCAGCAATATAATTCATTTGACATGAACGTATCATAATTGCAGTTGCTAGGAAGCGATTTTTTTTTTTTTTTATTCTTTTAGGAGGAACTGCTGTGGTTCCTAGAGCAGTGTGTTCTTTCTAAAGCTCTGCTTACTGAAGGTGGAAAACAAAGATTTGTTTTCTTAATTATCACAACCTTTTGTCAAATAGCTAGCTAACACATGGGTCCTCAGAGGACATTGTTTCTGCCCTGAGCGCAGGCACAGCATGGTTGGGCCAGCCCCACTCCTGCCATGAGGCGCTGGGGGTGCCAGGGCCACTGGTGAAATTCCGGACCAGGGGAAGGGACTGGGGGCTTGTGGGCTGTGCCTCTCTACAGCTTTGTCTGCCAGGTCTCCTGGCCCATACAGCACCCTTGGGCCCCAGTCCTTTTGGGAGCTCACAGAGCATTTGGGGTCATGACCCTTGCCCGGGAGCAAGAGCCCCTTGTGTGGGGAGCCCTGTCCTCTCACCATGGGCCCCCAGAGAACTCAACATGGTAGGATAGGGGTCCTGACAGGGGTGTGGCTGTTCCACGCATCATCTAGGGTGAGGAGGGTTCCACGCTGACCTGGGATGGGAGTTTCGGTCTCTATCTTGGGCTACAAGGCCTGGTCCTAGGGGGTGCAGGGTCCTGCTCACCCCTGAGGGAGTCACCTGGTTGTGCCCTTTGTCCCACCCAAGGGCCCAGTCAAGGTCCAGTCCTGAGCCTGGGCTGCCTGGTCCTCCTGTCTTGTTTCTCTCCTGGCTTTGGGCCTGGGGGCTCTCACCTGACATGTGGCCAGGGATTCCCCCACCCCGTGCCCCGGGCAGATGGCGCTGGGCTTGACTCACTCCTCTCTCTCTCTGTCCCACAGTGTGACAGCGAGAGCGGCGTGGACGACAAGGTAAGCCCAGCTCTTTCCTTCTCTCCTGCACGTGGGCCGGGACTGCCCTGCCCACCCCCACTGACTTTCACCTGAGCAGGCAGAAAGGTTGGGCATTTGTGGGGGTTCTGCCTGCCGGGGGTACAGGGGTTTGTGGCCTCCCCAGGCGTGGGGACACCAGGTGGAAGAGCTGTCTTTGACAGGGGCGCTGGTACCATGGGTGCCGCCCAGCTTCCCTCTGACCACAGATCGCAGGCCTGGTGGGCGTTTGTGACACCCTCGCCAGGATGGGCGCCTCTGAGCCCTGAGACAGGCTCTGTCAGCCCTGAGGGAGTGTATGGCAGGCAGAGCAGGGCCCACCCTGCCCCAGCATGGACCGGCAGGGGCCTCAATGGCTTTGCCATGCAGCTGCAGGAGCTGGGAACCTCCAGGCTTGGGCCGTAAACATCACCAGAAAGTAGAGACTCCGTTAATAGCAGCTCATTAGCACATCACAATTACCCTCCACTTTTCAGGAACGATAAAGTCCACATTAATCCAGGGTTTATGCAGCTCTAGCAGTTAGCAAAGGAATAACCACCGCAGCAGGCCTCCTCCAGGCTTTCTTTCTGATCCCAGAGCCCGCCTGGGATCTCCTGGGCCCCATCCATGCAGCAGCTCCAAGGTCAAGGCCAGTTTTTGTCGCCATCTGCTGGGACCCCTGTGTGTGCTGTGGGCATAGGGGAGGGAAGAGGCTGCCCAACACTGAACTGAGCAGCTCTGTTGAGCACTGTGTACTGAGCGCCTGGGTGCAGGATTCTCAGAGCAGCCACAGCACTGGCAAGGGGCCTCCCGCTGGCGGGCCGCATGTGCAAAGGGGCAGGGCAGGCCGGCATTCGCATGGGGCTGGGTGGTAGCTGAGTGCTGGATTTGGTTTTTGGTCAGGTTTTTGCGAAATGGAGTGAAGCTCAGCTGGGGGGTCTGTGTGGTGGATGAAAGAACACCTGACGGGGCAGTGCCCGGGCTGGGTGGGGGCCAGGGTGAGGGAGCCCACATCGAGGTGGCCTGGGGAGGAGTGGGCTTGGGCAGGTTGGCTAAGATGATGCCCCAAGACACCCAAGGTGAGTTGTCATGGAAACCCAGGGCATCGTGACCTGGACGGTCAGGGAGGGTGTCCGCCTGGGGGCCTGCACCGTCCGCCTCCAGCCACGGTGTCCCAGCCTCCTGCAGTGCTCTGACAGGAGCCAACATCCGTCCTGATCTCGTTAATGAAATTAGATTATGGACACCTGGGAAAGTGCTGAGCCGGCCACGGTGTCCCAGCCTCCTGCAGTGCTCTGACAGGAGCCAACATCCGTCCTGATCTCGTTGATGAAATTAGATTATGGACACCTGGGAAAGTGCTGAGCCGGCACATACCCTCAGCACCTCCTTTAATTTAAAACCAATTTTCGGAGAAAACGATCTCCACAGCCAAGGGCTGCTCTGAGGACAGGGGAGGGGGTTTCTGGAGCCTGGAAGGCTGCTGGGGGCTCCTGCCCCACCCTGCCACTCACCCATCTTCCAGAGAAGAACAAAGCTGACCCCCTCAGAGGCAGGTTCACACGGATCACATAGCGCTGGGGGAGGAGATGCTGATGACCCCCCATGGCTGTCCCACCACTCTCCAGCAACCAAGGGGTTAATCCTAGCCCACTGGGACCTGGCAGGTCCACCCTGACCTACCAGCTCTGACCAGTTGCCCCAAGGCTATACCCCTCACAATGCAACCCCCCAACCAGCCTGGGCTGGAGGGATGAGGGGCCACAGGGAGAACTTGAGCTTAAACAAGAGCTCTAGACTGGGGTCGGGGTAGAGCCCAGGGGAAGGATGCTCCTCTGGACAGTTGTTAGCAAGGCTCAGTGAGCTCCAGAGCCCTCTGCCCAGAAGGGCCAGGTGTGGAGGGAGGGGCAGCATTTGGTGACTTCTTTGCCAGGGCTTCCCCTGGGGTGGGTGGCTCTGGGCAGTGAGGAGGTGGGGCCAGGGAAGGGGCCTTGGGCTGGCTTGCACAAGGGGCTTGGGGTCGTGCCCCTACCTGGTGGGAGCTGCTCCACACACCGATGCCCTAGCCCAGCCACATGACAGCCCCTGGCTAAGTCACAGCCCGCCACTGACGGGGTGGGAGCACTGGGCCTCCCCATCACTGCACTTCGGTGGGGACAGGGCAGGGGAGAGCAGAGGCCTAGAGGGTGGCAAGGCAGCTCCCACCACGTGCCTCAGTTACCCACCTGACACTGTCAGTGGTGATGGCGGCACCCCTTCCCAGTGGATTAGTGCACACGAGGGGCACAGAGAGGCCAGCAGAATAAGACCCAGGTGCTGCCCAGCTTGCTCTTGTCTGGGGGAGATGGGTCCCTGGAGCCATGAGCTGGGCTATACTTAGAAAGCCCCAGGGGCTGGGTGAGCCTAGAGAACCACGCAGATCTCTTCCCTGTTAGCCCAAGTTGGCCTTTTCTGTCTCTTTGTGACACTGCAGTGTGTTCAGAGGAGCTTGCATTCCAGGCAAACTCATGACAGAGGCCCGGGGCTGGCGAGATCCTGCAGAGAACCACTGCAGCATGGCTGCCCGAGCAGGTGGAGTGGCCCCCATGAGCCGAGGTGGGGCGACCCTGGGATGGCCCAGGAGGAACACAGCATCCAGGGTGAGGGAGGGCATGAGCTCAGAGCAGGAAGCAGCTATCCTGACCATGAGTAACGCCTCATCCAGAACTCTTAGCTCTCCCACGGCAGCGGTGGCTGTACTCGGTTCCTGAGTTTGGGACAGTAAAGTGGGAGTGTCTGGAGAGCGGGAGGCCTTGGACCCTTCTGTTTCTCTCTCCCTGGTGCTGGGTTCCGGGCAATCAGTGGCTCTCTCCAGACCAAGGCCAAGCACTGAGCCCTTGGAGAAGCAGAGCAGGTCAGAGGCAGAGGCAGCACCGTGAACAGAAACCAGACCAACGCTGTGAGGCTGTCCACACCCTGCAGGAGGAGCTAGTGGGGCGAGGGAGGAAAGGCAAGAGCCCCACAGCACTTCCAAGATGGCAAAATTCCCAACTTTATTAGCCAGCAAAAACACGGGAGGGAGAGAACACAGCCTTGCCGTCAGGCCCCTCATCAGCCATCTAGTTGTGAACCTCAGGGAGGAAGAGCCGCTCAGGTCCACGGGGACCCTCGAGACTCTTGCTCAGGCCTGGGGATCATGTGCTTCACACACGGTTTGAACAAGAGGCACGCGTGGCCTGGAAGCAGCCAGAGTACTCTGGGTGGACAGACCTGTGGTGAGCAGCAGCCAGACTCAGAGGACAGGCAGGGGACAGAAAAGCTGCGGATGCTCAGTGTGCTGGACTCTGGGGACAGCCCTGCTGCAGGAGCTGATGCCCTGGCAGAGCCTGGCAGTGGGCAGCATGCCCAGAGGGTGGGCAGCTGGGAAGGTAGGGGGCCAGGTTCCTGACAGGGTATCTTCCCAAGCCCGCCAGCCTCTGAGCTCAGACCAAGGCTCCAGCTCCCGCCAGCCCACCCACCCCTCGGGGACTGCCTAGAGCCCTGCTGTGGGTCAAGGTGCAGACACTGGGGACATTCCTCCTTTAAGTAGATGAAGAAACAGACAGGAAGAGTTCTCTGCACCCCTCCCCGTGATCCGGGCTGGCACCTCATGGGCTCTGGCTGGCTCTGCCCAGTGCCGCTTCCCCTCCCCACCCCCCCCTCCGCCCCCCCCCCCCCCCCCCCCCCCCCC